TGCCCAGGTGTGCCCAGGTGTGCCCAGGTGAGTGCCCAGGTGTGCCCAGGTGTGCCCAGGTGTGTCTCTCACCGTGATGAAGCCGTAGCCCTTGGACTGTCCCGTGTCCGGGTCTCTCATCAGGACGATGTTGTCGATCTGGGGGGGGGGAGGGGCACAGGTGAGACGCTGAGGGGGCGTGGCCTCACCTGGCTCCGCCCCCTCCCCCCTCAGGTGCGCCAGAAAAAATCTCAGATGTGACCAAAATCCCCTCCAGGTGTGCCCAGGTGTGTCCCCAGGTGTGCCCAGGTGCCTCCAGGTGTATCCCCAGGTGTATCCAGGTATATCCCAGGTGTCCCCAGGTGCATCCAGGTGTGCCCAGGTGTCCCCCAGGTGTGCCCAGGTGTCCCCAGGTGTATCCAGGTATCCCCAGCTGTCCCCAGGTATCCCCAGGTGTCCCCAGGTGCATCCAGGTGTGCCCAGGTGTCCCCCAGGTATCCCCAGGTGTATCCAGGTACCCCCAGGTGCCCCCAGGTATATCCAGGTGAGCCCAGGTGCCTCCAGGTGTATCCAGGTGTGTCCCCAGCTGTCCCCAGGTGTCCCCAGGTATCCCCAGCTGTCCCCAGGTGTGCCCAGGTGCCTCCAGGTGTGCCCAGGTGTGTCCCTAGTTGTATCCAGGTATCCCCAAGTATCCCCAGGTTCCCCCAGGTGTCCCCAGGTATCCCCAGGTGTCCCCAGGTGCCCCCAGGTGTATCCAGGTGTGTCCCCAGCTGTCCCCAGGTGTGCCCAGCTGTCCTCAGGTGTCCCCAGGTGTGTCCCCAGGTATCCCCAGGTGTATCCAGCTGTATTCAGGTGTACCCCCAGCTGTCCCCAGCTGTCCCCAGGTGTGCCCCCAGCTGTCCCCAGGTGTGCCCAGGTGTCCCCAGGTGTCCCCAGCTGTCCCCAGCTGTCCCCAGGTGTCCCCAGGTGCCCCCAGGTGCTCTCACCTTTCCGAAGGGCTCGAAGATGCCCCTCAGCATGTCCTTGGTGATGTTGCAGTGCAGGGAGCCCACGTAGAGCCGCAAGGGGCCGCCCGAGCCCTTCTGCAGGGGCGCCGCCATGGCCGCCAGCCGGTTCTTCTCGGCCTGGGGGGGGGGACAGGTGTGCACAGGTGAGCACAGGTGAGCACAGGTAAAAAAAAAAACGGGGAGAATCCACCAAAAAATGAAGGAAATGCGTCCAAAAATGGAGAAATTTCACCCCAAAATGACCTAAAATGACCCAAAAATGACCCAGAATGCAGCACAGGTGAGCTCAGGTGAGCTCAGGTGAGCACAGGTGAGCACAGGTGAAAAAAAACGAGGAAAATCCACCCGGAAATGGAAAAATTCTACCCGGAAATGACCGAAAATGACCCAAAAATGACCCCAAATCCAGCCCAGGTGAGCTCAGGTGTGCACAGGTGAAAAAAAAAAGAGGAAAATCCACCCGGAAATGGGAAAAATCCACCCGGAAATGACCGAAAATGACCCAAAAATGACCCAAAATGACTCAGAATGCACGACAGGTGAGCTCAGGTGAGCACAGGTGAGCACAGGTAAAAAAAACCGAGGAAAATCCACCCGGAAATTGAAAAATTCTATCCGGAAATGACCTAAAATGACCCAAAAATGACCCAAAATTCAGCCCAGGTGAGCTCAGGTGAGCTCAGGTGTGCACAGGTGAAAAAAAACGAGGAAAATCCACCCGGAAATGGGAAAAATCCACCCGGAAATGACCTAAAATGACCCAGAATGCAGCCCAGGTGAGCTCAGGTGAGCTCAGGTGAGCTCAGGTGAGCACAGGTAGAAAAAACCAGGAAAATCCACAAAAAAATGAAGAAAATTCACCCAAAAATGACCTAAAATGACCCAAAAATGACCCAGAATGCAGCCCAGGTGAGCTCAGGTGAGCACAGGTAGAAAAAAAAGCAGGAAAATCCACAAAAAATGAAGAAAATTCACCCAAAAATGACCCAAAATGACCCAAAATTCAGCCCAGGTGAGCTCAGGTGAGCTCAGGTGAGCACAGGTGAAAAAAAATTGGGAGAATCCACCTGGAAATGGAAAAATTCTACCCGGAAATGACCTAAAATGACCCAAAAATGACCCAAAATCCAGCCCAGGTGAGCTCAGGTGAGCACAGGTGAGCTCAGGTGAGCACAGGTAGAAAAAAAACGAGGAAAATCCACCCGGAAATGACAAAATTCTATCCGGAAATGACCGAAAATGACCCCAAAAAGGTCCTGGAAGATACATAAAATAAAAAAAAAAATTGATTCCATAAATCCTAAAAAATTGCCAAAAAAATTCCCAAAAAATTCCAAAAAAATTCCCCAAATTTGGAAAAATCTTTAAGGTCCTGGAAGGTCACGAAAACAGCGCAAAAAGGTCCTGGGAGATGCATAAAAATGATTTAAAA